TTTCCATTCTTTTGTGTCTTTCTATTTAAAATCGGTTTCATGTAGGCAACAAATAGTTGAAACTTACTTTTTTATGTAATCTGTTAATCTCTGCCTTTTAATTGGGGGGTTTAGACCTTTTATATTTTATACCACTACTGACATGGTTGGGTTTAAATAATTCATCTCATTATTTGTCTTCTATTTGTCCCATCTGTTCTTTGCTTTTCCTCCCTTCTTTTGAAGGTATGTTTTGTAATTATTTTTTATTCCATCTTATCTCCTTGGTAGGCTGAATAGCTGACATTCTTGTTATTTTAGCGGTTGCTTTGGGGTTTACAGTATGCATCTTTAATTGATCACAGCTCAACTTAAAGACATGTAACGCTTCATGAATAGCTCACACCTGCCCTCTTACCTTTTGTGCTTTTGTTGCCATGCATTTTACTTTTACATATGTTATAAACCCCACACTAAATTGTTAGTTTTTTGTTTAAATTATAAATTATATTTTTATATGATTTAAATATTTCTTAAAATCTTAAAAATCTACCCAATGTAGTTACAATTTCTAGCTTTCCTCGTTTCTTTGTGCAGATGCATATTTCCACCTGGAATCATTTTCCGGCTGCCTCAAGCACTCCAATGAACACTTCTTGCAGTGAAGCTCTGGTCTTCTGTCTAGAAAAGTCTTTATTTCGCCTTTGCTTTAGAAATAAATTTTGTTGTCCTCAGCTTTTATCCTTCAGAACTTTAAGGTATTGCTCCACTGTCTTCTTGCTTACCTATTTTTTCTATCAAGAAATTTGCTGTCATCTGTATCTTTGTTGGCGAATCTTTTCTTACTCGTTGCTTTTAAGGTAGTCTCACTGTCGTGTGCTTTACTGTGATTTTCACCATTGCTCTGTGCTTAGACATCATTGAGTTTCTTGGATCTGTGGCTTTACAGTTCTCATCAAATTTGGAAAGATTTTGGCCATTACTTTTACAAATTTTATTTCTGTATTAGCTATTTACTGCTGTGTAACAAATTTCTCCAAAATTTAGGAGCTGAAATAGTATTTTATCACATTTTCCCTGGGTCGTTAATCAAAGTGCTGGCCAGTAGCTACTGGTAGACCTCAGAAGAGCCATTTCCAAACTGACTCACATGCTTGTTGACAACCTTGGTTCCTGGCCAGGTAGACCTCTCTACAGAACTGCCTCATGACATGGCATCTGGCTTCCCCAGAAAAGAGAGACCCAAGAGTGAGAGCACTGAAAATAGAAAGCAGAGTCTTTCCATAATCTAACATAGGAAGTGACACCCCATTATTTCTGCCATGTTTTTTCCTTTAGAGGTGAGTCAATAAATTCAGCCCACATTCAAGAGGTAGTGATTTAAGGAGATCACAGAATACCAGGAGTCAAGGATCATGGGGGGCAGGGGCATCTTAGAGGCCGCCGACTACTTCCTCCCCTCCTTTGGTAACTGCAGTTACATATACATCAGGCCACTTAAAGTTGTCACAGCTCACTGATGCTCTGTTTACTATTTTTTTATATTCACTTTTCTCTCTGTACTTTGTTTTGGATAATTTCTCTTGCTATGTCTTCAAAGTTCATTAATGTTTTCTTCTAAAATCTCTAATTAGTGATGAGTCTAATCCAGTGCATTTTTCATCTCGGACATTATACTTTCATCTCTAAAAGTTTAATTTGGGTCTTTAGTATATATTTCATGTCTCTACTTAACTTTTAAAACTTAGGACTAGAGTTATAACTGTTTTAATGTCCTTTGCTGTGATTCTAACAAGTGTGTCAATTCCAAATGATTGCTTTCTCCTCATATTTTCCTGCTTCTTAGTACCTTTTTATTGGATGCCAAACACTGTGAAGTTTACCTTGTTGCATGCAGAATATTTTTGCATTGCTATAAACATGTTTTAGTGTGTTTTGCAACCGAGTTCAGTTACTTGGAAAGAGTTTGATCATTTTGGATATGTTTTTAGGATCTGTTACACGGGAATGGTATGGTGTTCTGTGTTCAATAAATTACAGCTAATCTTTCTTCACTACAGAAGTAAGACTCACCTGTGCACCTGACCCAAGTCCCCATGAGTCATGGTGTAGTCAATCTATGATGTGAAAATAGGCATGGTTTCTGGCCTTAGGTGACAGCTGAACATTGTAACCCCTTCTCTTTTCAGCGGTTCTTTCTCTGCTTTCCAGTAGTTCCTCACGTGCCTGCACTTATCAGCTAAATACTTACTCAAACGAGAATGCTTTCTGGAATTTCCAATCTGTGAAGCTCTCTCCTCTCTAGATTCTGTCCTGAGACCCCGAGCAGTCTTGGTTTCTTCCATCTCTCAGCTCCATGTCCTCAACTCAGGGCTTTCTCTGGGTTTCCCCCTTCCCTGCACTATGCCCATAGATTATCTCAAAGCAGTGAGTTGGGACAATTGCAGGATTCACTTTGATTTTTTTCCTGTCTCACATAAATCACTAACCTTTCTTGCCTGATAATCATTGTTTCATATTTTTTTAATGTTTTTAGTTGTTTCAAGAGGGAGGGTAATTCAGGTCCTTGTTACTCCATCGTGGCTGGAAGCAGAAGTCTGGTCTCAAGGCAAAACATTCTGAGTGGACATCAGCAGCCCTGCTGAGGTGGCATGCCACAGAGGACAGGGGTATAGGAGAAGCCCTGGCATGGATGGGGACAGGTTAGGGAAGAAAGGAAGGATTCATTTTTCTCCTGCAAGTATAAGAGTTGTTTTGCATACCCCCACCCACGTATTATTTCTCTAAAACAACTTGCATGTTATTTCTGCGTTTCCATTATAGGCTATCTACCCACGTTCGAGGCTCGCAGATGTTCCAATCTTTTGCTTAGAACTTGGAGCTACATTAAGGCCAGACTCTGGCTAGTGTCTTAGGAGATCATCTTTCTTGGTTCATGTCTATGAGGTTAAATTAAGAAGCTGATTCATCTCTAGTGGTTTCGCCAAACCATTTGGTACTGTTCACCAATGGCCATTAATATGTCAGAGGCATCACTGTATAAATCCCAGCTTCTGTCTGTGAAAAGAATACTGATTAGTTTGACTACACCAGAATCCAATTAGCTTTGCCTCTTCCCGTCTAATTTTTTAAATGCAATTTTGTTAATGTGAATTTTAATCGTGATTTATGGCAACAGCATCCCTTTACCTTCTCACGGAACCAGGTAACTTCTTTTTGAGGTCAGAGTGCAGTAAAAGCTGCCTCGCTCATAATTCTGGTTTTTTCATTTCCTGCTTTAATATTTTTGTTTCATTTTTAATCTCCTACTTTAAATCATACTTAACTGCACCCCATTCTCAAGCTGACTTGGTGTTCTCTTAATGTCACATTTTATAAAGCACAGGTTTCCTGGAAAAGTTGCTCTTCATTAGTGGGGAAGGACAGGAAATGTTCATGTCAGCGCTCTGAGAACCATCATCTCCTAGGCCAGAGGCAGAGTTCACACCGAGTTATGCAAACCAGAGGGTTTATCAAAGGCTTTTGTTGGGGTAGAGGGACAGTATCAGCTTAAAAGCAGCTTGGACATTTCTAAAGAGGGTAGGAGTGGGAATGACCCTTGATAAGCACATCCGATTAAATATGTTCTCTGTCCTGGAATTTGTTATGAATCCTGACAGTCCACATAGATAAGTACCAAACAATTACCAGAAAAATAATGCTGCAGTGTGGGAAATGCCCTCTCCCAGCCTGCAGGGGCCAATGGGCCTCCGCTGGAGAGTCACGGAGGCCCGAGGGAGAGACAGATGGGACAACCGTGTGAAGCCTCCTGGAGCTCCAGGAATCTGAGGCAGTCATTACTGCTGTGGTTAAGAGCTCAAGTTGGAGGAAATGATGACCTGGGTTCCAACCTCAATCCTGCTACTTTCTAGCTGTGTGTACTTGGGCAAAGTACTCAGCCTCCCTGTGCCTCAATTTTGCTTTATTTGGAGACATAGTAGTTCTACATAGGATTGTTGTCCTGTGACAACTCAATTAGAGTAAATTAATATATGAAAACACTCAGACCAGTGCCTGACATACACCGTTGTTAGCTGCTATTACCCTTTTTTAGTAACTGAAATATATTTGACATCTAACACTGCACAAATTTAGGGTGTATCCCATATTGATTTGATATATTGTAATATGATTGCCATTGTAAGGGTAGTTAGCGCTATACCATGTAGCATAATTATTATTTTTTGTGTGGTGAGATTAAGATCTACTCTATTAGAGAGTTTGGTGATTACAATATAATCTTGTTGCCTATGTTCACTGTCCTGTGCATTAGGTCCCCGGGACTTGTTTGTTGCAAGTCTGTATTCTTAAGCAACATCTCTCCATTCCCCCACCCCAACCCTGGTAACCACCATTCTCCTCTTCGGTTTTTCTGAGTTTGACATTTTTAGATTCCACGTGTAAGTGATATTCCTCGGTATTTGCCCTCCTCTGTCTGACTCATCTTGCTTAGCAGGATGTCCTTGAGGTCTCATCGAGGATTTAACCAGGGGTTAGATCTGTGCTGTTCAGCACGGTGGCCTCCAGGCACCTACAGCTATGACGTGCCTGAAGTGTGCCTAATATGACAGTGTAACTGAATTCTGAACTGTGTTTAATTTTAATTTGAACCAAAGCTTGACTCTTTAAAGTATATAAATTTTATGAAATATAAGTACAGACCAAAGATTTCTGATAGAACTCTGGTGTTCCAATTTGAAGATAAAGTACAAGGGAAAAGACTGAGAAATAGCTCATTAGTATTTTTAAAATGCTGATTACGGGATGAAATAATACTATTTTGAATATATTTGGTTTAATAAAAGATACTGAAATTATTTTCTCCTGTTTCTTTTTACTTTTTAAATGTGGCTCCTGGAAGATTTTAAATACTGTATGTGGCTCCCATCACAATGAACAGTGCTGGGCTAGATTATGAGGGAGCTTATTTGCTGCGCTAAACTGTTTAGACTTTATCCTAAGAGCATTGGGAAGACACAGAATCGAGTTTACATATTATATATTTACATGTCAGAAAATTTACCCTGGCAGCTGTGTGGGAAATGCATTTGAGGGAAATAAAACCAGAGCTGTGGAGACCAATTAGTGGCAGAAATGCAGGCAAGAGGAATCGTGGTCTGAATTGCAGATGGCATGTGGATGGCGGAAGTGGCATCGTCGAGAGGTGGATTCTCTCAGTAACACCGGGGGAGGGAGTCCAAATCGACTCCAGGGTATGTGGCTTGGGGAACTGGATAGAGTCTCTGAGACAGAGCCTAAAGGACCAGAATGAGAATATAATTTAACTGTCAGACTAAGTACCTTTAAGAAAACTACCCGATCCCTTCAGCTCAGTTAATCCCACTGGAGAGGGTCCCACAGCCAAAACACTGCTTTTAGGAACCACTGGCTCTCCTAATCTTTCCCAAATCTGCTTGAAAGTTAAGAAGCATGAAATTAAGTCCCAAACCTGCCTCTCTACCTCTCCTTTTAAAAACAACAAACAAACAAGACCTATCCCAATATCATCACTGCCTTTTGGTGAATGCAGTTAACAGTCCACACACTATAGTCAAAGAGCTTCCAGAGTTCAAAGGGAATGTTTTTAAAATGAGCATGAAGGAGAACAGCCGTGGAGACCGTCCTACCTGAAGGGAGCAGCACAGCTCAGGAAAGAACGCTGGGTGGATCCAGTTGCTCCTATTCCAGCTCCTGGCTCCTTGTGTTCTGGTTCTGAGTCTTGGTTCTCAAAAGGTTTGAAGTCAGTATCTGCTGAACAGACGACATTTTCATAACTCTTGGACCTCAGTTTCCTGACCTGTATAAATGAAATGATCATTTTCACTGTGAACAGTAGTTTTGAGATCAGATCATCTCGAGATGTACATAAAGTGGCCCTTAATTGATGTTCATTAAATGATAGTAATTACGATTACATCTAGGAATGAAATTAAAGCCAAAGTTGAAGCTCTTCGAGGTACATTTCAGGCACTGCACGTGGTCCGCTTTGCTTTCAGGCTGCCATTCTGTGTATTTCCAGGGCCATGGGGGCATGGCTGGAAGACATCTCCTAAATCCTGAAGTGACCTTAAACCTCACACTTCTGTTCTAAGCATAAGCTTCAGCCTGCTCTCCAGCAAGTCTCGAAGCAGGGCGGTGTGAGCAGTAACATCACCTCTGTGCATCGTCTTTTTTTCCTGGCTCCTCTTTCGTATCCTCCGCCCCCCTGGGAGAGGAATCTTAGAAACTCAAAGTGGTAATAAGAGGACAGGGGGATGTGAGCCAGAGCGAAGGTCTCGGATCACACCCTGATTGACTACTGCAGGCTGCTCTCGAAATGGAAGCTGACGCCACCGTGTATTAGCTGAAAGGATCTCCAACCCACCTTCCCTGCTTTCCACGCTGAATGTGCAGTCTCCAAACTTGGCTTAGACAAATATTTATGCATAAAGTACAAAAAGCAGGCCAGTTGCTCATCTCTGTGTTCTAAGAACAATGCAATTTTCCTTCTAAAACACTATGCAAGGAGCTAACACACTCGCCCACTGGGCTGAGGGGTTTGGAGAACTGCAGCCATTAAGCAGCGGGAGCAGGCTGCGAGGAGGTGCTGATGAAATGGCCAAAGATCGAAAGCTGCTGCGATGGGGCCGCTTGGCATGAGAATGTTCCCAGAGAAACAAGGTCCTGAACTTCCAATCCATCAAACCAGTGTTTGCAAAGTGGCTCCACTGTTTCCTGCTGTGTCTGGTCCCCCTGGAAGACACAATCCTGATCCTGAAGGGCCGGATCCTTTGTCAAGATCAACAACACACGCACTTGAAATAAACAGAAACCCACTAAGCACTTAGCTGGGTGATGCTGATACAAGTGGAAGGAGGGTTTCCAGAAAGGGAAACCAATGTGGGCGACGGTGCAGAAAGGGTCTGCATGGCGAGGTGGAGGTGAACCGGGGCTGCGAGGATGAGCAAGGTTTCAGCGCAGGAAGGAGGGAGGGAGGAGGATGGGGAAGGGAGA